TTATTGCTTACATTATACTCATACAAAATGTAGTAAGACGTTTTCAGGAAAAGCCTAAAGATATTCAGTCGTACAAAATGGATAATTTTATTATAATTAATTTTATTAAGTTATAATGCTGTGAAAAAACATTACAAATCCAGACAACCTCATTCAGCTGGTTGTTTTCCAATTAACTACACATTTTTGTGAAAATGTATCTAAACATGACATATAATACAAGTGCAACTATGCTTGTGGTGACCTAAAGCAGCACATCATAATCAGATTAAACTATTTACACATCACAATATTACGACATAATACATTACAAATTCGAATGAACATTTTCTTAAACCAAATCATGATATTTTCACATGGCCAGATTTTAGACTGATGGCACTGCAGTTAATTCTGGCCAATAGGAGGGGAAGAGTCCGTCTGATTGATTTATTAAGTGAGCATTTAGTTTTTATGCATTTTATTTGCAGAACAGTTTATCTGAAATTGTAAATGTCACAACAACAAGCAGAAGAGTCCAGAAAAAAAAAAAAAACTTTCAGAAAGTCAGAATAAGCTGCAAAGTAGACGAGCCTTGATCATGATGTGCTCATCAGAACAAACATTTCACCAATAAGAGCAGCGATATTCAATCCATAATCCAAAGAAAATGGGACAATTCTATGTGTAAGGTTATTCTTTGGTCTTCTCCACAAAAGAAACTTGACGAAAAGCTCAGTGTTCATTTGGGTAAATCTGCAATGGGACAAAGGCTTGATAATATGAAATAGACCAGGGGTGTCAAATACAGCTGCTGAAAGGCCACTGTCCTGCAAAGTTTAGCTTCAACCCCAATTAAACTCACTTGAAGCAGCTAATCAAGGTCCTCCTAGGCATATGTGTTGAGGCAAGGTGGAGCTAAACTCTGCAGGACAGTGGGCCTCTGGGACAAAATTTGGACAGCCCTGACATAGACACTATCAAAGGTGCAGAAAGAATGGAATTGTGAAGAAATGACTGACCTCTGAATAAGAGGGAGGAGGCTGGAGGCGGAACTGCTGATTGTAAGCTGGGCCATCCAACAGCCAGTCCGGTTGAGGCTGGTAGGCTGGAGGACTGTGATCTTCAAACTGTTCCTCTAACACAACCTCTGCATAGCTGGGTGGGGCTGTCAGGCAAATAATCATTAAAAAAATAACAACAAGATTTATGTACATATTTTAACTAATATGAACAATTTATGCATATATGTTAAAGGGATACTGCACCGTTTTTTATACTGCCAATCCGATAACTATATAACACAGCAAGTGATTGGGAGCACTTCGACTCGGCGCAGTAATATCATCACTCGTGAAAAATCCTCTCCCCCTCCAGAGTGATGATATTACTGCGCCGAGTCCATAGATAAATATGCGCCGAGTCAAAGTGTTCCCAAGCACTTGCTGTGGTATTCCGCCATACAATAGATTTATCCACTTTACACACTTAGAAAAGCGCAACGTTTTATTTTGCGTCACCGTCCTAGGTCGAGTTACACTGCTCGAGTAACTGTATTTAAATAGGGAAATTGTGGAGGTGTTTGGTCGCTTCTCTGCTTGGCCCATATTGAATGAACTGGGCTAGATAAGTGCAATCAAAGTGTCTCACGCACCAGAGCGATTGAGCGCACGCACTGAGATGAGAGAGGTATGTATCAACTCATCTTAGTTAAGGGAATAACATAGTTTAATATGAAAAAACAGTGGAATATCCCTTTAAGTAATTTTCTGGACATAAAAACAGTTGAAAGTGAGATTTCTTTTTTTTTATTTTTTTATTTTTACAGTTTATAAGCTGCATTCATCGCATCAATAAATTCACACCATACCTTCAGCTACATCTGGTAGGGTAAACATGGGGTACAGCAAGCTCATGTCCATAATGCTCGTGTCAAAACTGTGACTGGAACGACCATCGGTACTGATCACCAGTGGAAGCAGTACTTCTAGATTTTTGGCACCTGGTATCTGAACGATAACCTTTAGAAGAGAAACAAACATATAGAATAAAGATTCATATAAATGGTGTGTATAAATACATAGCTATATTAGCTAGTAGAGTTTTTACTAGCTCATCAGAATATTCTTCAAACGACTGGTAACTTTGAATGAGAGAAAAAAAGAAATCCTTCATAATCATCATATAATGATTACTTACTGCAAGCAAGTATTCCACTTTCAGGATGTCTGAATTCAGAATGGATGGAGAAACTGGAGGAATCTTCAATGCGTTTCCATTCCACCTGCTGGAACAGTCAGACGGCACCACATTTCCACTAGCACTGGCAACCACCTGTTTGATGATTTTTTTTTTACCCTTTGCCATATAGGTCTGTATCTGGTATATCACTGCTTTTGGCACAACTAGACGAGAGGAGAGGTTCTCAATCAGAGCACAGATTGGGATTGATTCTCCTAGAGAAGACAAAAAAAAGCAAATGTGGAATCATAAGTTTACCTTTGATCTGATGATGATCCATCCAAAACTATTTAGTGTTCTTTTAATGGTCTTAACCATTTTAAATGACAGGTCTCTTGTCAGGGAATTAGCAAGAATTACAACAAATATTGCAGCCTAGATAAAGTAACTTGGTGCAGAATCAACTTGCAAACAGCTCTATACAAGAGACAAAAGTATGTTCTCTATGGTATAAATAAAGTCAAAATGTACTAGATTTGGCATCATGTGACCTACAGCATCCCATATTCTACCAAAAACTCAATTGGATCTTTGATGTTTTTCTGAGACAGAAATGGCTTTTTAAGTAGTGCCTTTAAAAGCTTAGTGTATAGCCATATTGGGCATGGCCTATTTTTATTCACTTTATTGCCTACAAGGAGTTCATACATTTTGTTCTTGTAATGACAAGCTGATTATTTAGCAGCCATTACTCCAGCTTTCAGTGTCACATGATCTTTCAGAAATAATTCTAATATGCAGATTTGCTGCTCAAGAAACATGGAAACCATGATGCATACTTTGAAAGTTCAAAAGAATGGCATTTTCTTTACTGACCCCAAACTTTTGGATATGTTTGGTAACTTTATGTTACCTTCAGTTGAGCAAAAACCTACAATATTCAAATACCGTCATCCTGTCACACCCAGAAAGCTTCAAAGCACATACAAATATACTTATTTTATCTTACCACGGCAATAGCCCTGCCGGTCTATACTGACAGACAGTGAGATGGGACCTGACGTAAAGATCCAGCTGCCGATCATCTTCTTACAGGTTTGTGACACTGGAGACTGTAATGACAACTCTGAGTCAGAGGTCAGGAGGATGTTCTCTAATGCAGTACTACTTTGCTTCAGATTTTACATCAATTCTACATTTCATTTTAATTTGATGCTAATGTGGCTTCCAGAGAAGAGGAACTAACTTTGCAGCCATTCAAAAAAAGTATGTTCTACATGGTATGAATGAAGTCAGAATGTACTACATCTGGCATCATGTGACCTAAAGCATCGACTGCTAATCACATACATTGTCCATTCATTGGATGCACACCATAAAATGGGTATGCGTAGGAAAACAGAATGCATTTTTGACATACTCACTATTAATGATGGCATATTGACATCAATAGGATTGAGGATGCAAAGTTCTCTGCAAACACGATGATTCTCATGAAATGGTGTTTTTAAAACTGCCTGCACCATGTAGAAAACATGGCCATGTTTTCCAGAGAACGAGGAAACCAAGGGACTAGGAGACAATTCAAAATGTGCGGTGTCAGTGCTCTGAATAGTGTAACAAGAGTTAATTTTGAACTGCAATAAATAAAACTATACACACAAAGTATATTTGTTTGCGATGATCTTATAATCTTTGCAGCCTTTATGTAACTAAGGCCTAAACAACTGAAAATGGAGTGTGCGTCAGGTCTCACACTTTAGAAAGTAATTTGATTAAATGGTGCCCAAAAAACTTGCACTGGGCCCGACCCATGCTCGGAATAGCCCTTCCAAACATTTGAACTTACCTCTGAGGTAATTGTAGTTCAAAAGGGATCACATACATGCCACTATGAAGGATGAGGTCTTGACCTAATCAAATATTAATAATTCAAACTGTACTACATTCATGTTCAAAGGCAATGCAACAGATCACACTTCAATCAGCACAAAAAAATCATGAGTATTGCAGCAGGCCTACCTGTTGATGCTAAAAGTGTCTTGGATAAGGAGAGATGTTTCCTCTCTTCGGAACAGCGGGACCATTTGTGCATCCAACTCACCTGAGCATATCCCTTCAGTAATACTTTTATGGCTTTGACTGTGGTGGCTTCCGAAATTTTGAGCGAAATATGTCCAGACACTACATCACCAGAGCAGTAGTAACCATCGCTCTGGTGATTGTTGTCAATAATTAAATCCAGTGATTTTCCTTTCTGTGGCATCTTGTTTTCTGGGGAGTGCAAGAGTACATTAAAATAGGAAAACACACATTGTTTATCTCATTGCATTTGTGGATTATTGATCAGCATCGAGATACTACTACACACACTTTATAATTGCGTGTCCAACATAATATTTAGCTATGTTTACCAATATCAACATAACTTTATAAAGACGCATAAAGCGCCTTTTAAACACTTTCAGTCAATGTTTAAAAGGCACTACATAAATAAACAACCATTGTGTATTATTTCGAATTACTTCTCACTTTGCTCACGCTGCAGCAGCACACGCCCGACTCACTCAGGTGTCTACAAGCCACGCCCAGTTTTTATTTATATGGGGCGATATTTGATTAAATAGATAAATTTACAAATATATTTATATATACAAAATATTTAATATTTCTAATGACCCACCCACCCTTTTAAGTCGACCTCACGCTGATAAAAGTCCAGCCACATCATGTATACATTTTTTGATTGGCCAGTTGCTGACTCACAGCCAATCAGCTTGCTTGCTTTGGCGTTCATGCCGCCAAACATGATGAATCTGAAAAACAAAAAACTGTTGTGGTTTCCAGAGGCCTTTCTGACGACGACTAGAAACTTCCAAACAGCTATCCACAGAGCTAATGAAAGGTTTGTTATTATCTTCCCGCTTGTTCACAACACAAAAGTATATTCATTTTGCTGCATCGTTGTTTATAATTGTAGCCTAGTCATGTTCACCACTTTCTGGAAAGATATCCATCACAAATGAACAGAAATCTCTGATGTATGCACTTTTGGGCACAGGCTTCACCTTAAAAAGTACAACGGGACTAACTTACTAACTTACAAGGTTTAATTTTACATTTAAAAGTGGACCTAGTATGAGTTTGATATGCAATTATGTCACTGATAAACGTCCAGACAAGTTTAAGTTAACGTTACAACGTGTAATTTGTTAGGTTTAAATGGTTTACAAAGCTTTCCAATTGAGATGCAAGTAGCAAATAACTCGAATTTTTCTATGGACAGGACAAGGTGTTTCTTTTTATGATCTGTTAAGACCACCTCAATTCTCATACTTATCTTGGATCAGCAACAACCAACCTTAAGGACATGCAATTGAAGATAGCTCCTCTCCAGAAGTGTCTTCTCTTTATCACCACCCAATGGTGAGTATATAAACCTACACAACACAATGTCTACTGTATTATGTTCTTACTAGTACAATATTACTGGTAATACATAGAGCCATATGTTTTCTCAGTTGATTACCAGTGTTTATGATTACATAACACGTACTATTTTAGAAATACAGCTCCATTTATAAAAGTAAAAGTAATCCTGAGGAATTTTTTTTCCAGTTTCAAGTGTATCTTTCCAGGTGCAACTCGAAAGATGTTGCTTACCTAAAGCCGTTTGAGATTCTAATTTAGACCGCAAATGCAATAAAAGCAAGAATGTTAAAGCCATTCATTATGGCACAAGAGAACTCTACTGAATGTGTAGAAAGCAGTAACGGTTTGATGTACTGCAATTGTTTGATATGATTATTCAGCATGAGCAAAAAAGAGAGGTCAGAATCAGGTCATAGAATGCAATAATCTCAGTTACAGGCGCCATCAGTACAGAAATGTGAGGTTTTGCAGCTTACCTAGAGTGTATGCGAGTTGTGTGTGTGTGGTGCGTGGACTGCTGCAATCTCCCCTGTGGGCTAATAGATTCGAGATGACATGTTCTCCGCTTCCATGCTGAATGTTCAGTGAACTTTCTGGCACAGAGGCTGCCTCTAAAGTGGGTTCAACCAGAGGTTAATATAAACAAACAGCAGAAAATGGAGAGCCAGGGATTATTAAATGTTAGGATGACTGACAAATCCCTCATTGCCATTAGCCCACGGCCTTCACCTATGCCCTGCCTTCCAAAAAATACTGTACCGTGGCTCGACAATTTACCTTTTTTCTTTTTTTGGCAGTGGCGTGTTTAGTTGGGGCTGAGAATTTGTAATGTGTGGTCAGATTATGAGTCACTTGGCTAGAGAAAGCTTTTGCCAAAATGTCCTTTAAGATTGTGTGCCCACATTTTAATGAGTTTAAAAATATGATGAAGTGTTGGGAGACGTTTATGCCAGCTGAGAGACAGATTTTCTCTGTGTTTGATGGTATGATCGATTTTAGTTTCAGGGTACTAAACGGTTATATAATTTAAAACAGTCTTAATTTTGCAGTATGATCAGGATGCATTAAATATTTTTAAATATATTCTGAACAGTTTATTTAAAAAAAAAGTATTTAAAAATATTGGATCATACATAAACATAGCTTGAAATAAAGTCTTTTCCCCAACACTTTTCAAGAACATAAAAATCATAAGAGGAAAAAAAAAGGAGATTATAAGAGTCAGAGCAATAATAATAATGAAATAGAATTTTTACATATCTGAACATATTTTAAAATATTGTATATAATTATGCTATTGGTTTATGAATGAATTATCATCTTTGTTATGGTTTTTGAAAAGTACATTCTTTCAGATATTTCATGTTGCAGAAAATCACACACACTGCCATCTTGTGGATGAGCGATCGAAATGCAAGCAGTGTAAATAAATTGCCCCTTTTGGATTTTTTGTTATATAACAGACACATATCATTGTTCACCATCATTTACAGCTTGCATTAATAAATTATGGAGAGTTTAGTCTGTTATCTAAAGCTTGGTAAACTTAATTGCAGCTTCAGCTTTGACAGATTGTGTATGGAACATAGATTGTGTGTGTGTGGGTGTTTTTCCCTAGTTAACAATATCTGCAGTGCTCCTTTGAAATTCCTGCTCATATGGAAAGAGTTAATTCCAGGATGTGAATTGTCCCTGTCCGAGCAGCTGAAATTTATCACTGCCAGCGACAATGTGCAAATTTTGTGATGTAGGCAGTGCATTGTTAACAGTGATTGTCATCTAATTAAATCGTGGCTCGTCACAAGAGATGCTTTTTATGCTGAGATAAGCATTGGGAGTCTACTCAAGCGTTCCCAAGATCAATAAAGATGTTCCCTTCTGGATTACGAATAGTCTGAGGGTTACATGGGGCAGAGGAATTAATTAGGAAAGAATTCTTATATCCCCCTATAGACACACACATACAGTTTAACTTTTATAGTTGGTTAGTTGAGATGGGAAGGGGGTATTTAAATGATTTGATGTCAGCTTTCACTCCGGTTTAATGCTGATGTTTAAGAGAAAGCATCAGGAAAACTTCTCAATCTCAGAGCAAATTAAAATGTCATGTGAAACTAAATTTAAATGATGTCCTTTTGTTCAGTAAACAATCTATTCAAAGGCATTTCAATTATAACAGCTCATTCACAAGCCAATAATATTGAATTGTTTGTTCATATAAATCTAACTGTATTCTGAGCACAAAAAGATGACTTCCAGTCAAATTTGTTTTTGTAGATTTGTGCAGATGTATTGATTGATTTAGTGCATCCAGGCAGCAAACGCTTGGTGAGCCCTAACCTGTCTAAGTACACTCTCATCAGTTTTAATGTGTTCAGTCTCATTGACTTGACACAAGCCCAGGGTCTCACTCCAATTCATTGCACCATTCCCCCCTGAAAGAGCACAGCTTGAGGCCCTTAGCAAAACCAACAGTGCTTTTTAGTGCTGAAATGCAATCAAATCAATGTGTGTGTATTTTATATATATATATATATGTGGATGTGTGCGTGTGTGTTTTTAAGAATGTTTTCATTAGATATGGCAGATTAAATGCTGTACATTTTATTGTTACTTGCGTGACCATGGAACAGTCCCAGATATCACCTTCTTTGTTCAAGCTCTTTTGTAGATGGCGGCACATATGCACATAGTGTATTTTTACAGTGCGCTCAGGTGCACGGCAGTGTCATCCCCCATTGCTTAGACATGCATGTGTGGAGTGAAAGGGTGAGCTTGCTAAAAGACACAGAAAATAGACTGATTGCAGAATAGTAGGCATGCCCGTTTAATGCACTCACACTCTAACCCTGCCATTCTTTCATCAGCCCCCACGCAACTCACCCCAAACACACACATTTTTTCCATTGGCCTTGTGCAAACTGAACAAAGGGAACTGGTAAAAAGTGGAAGAGGAAGAAAAGCAACTACAAAAAAGCTGATGTTCTACTTCGTATAATCCGAGGGTGCTCAGAAGTAGCTTGGGGTTAAACCTTCCTTCACTCCTTGTTCCTATTTCACACTTTAATGGCATTTTAATGCGACTGTCACTCTGAGGCAGGGTTCACAGCGTTCAGGTGTGGTCTTCAAATGATCCGGAGGAGGGGAAGCCTATAGTGCAATGTGTAGGGAGCACCTACATAGCATATTCTTATGTACATACTGTATATACGTTTTGTTTAATGCAAAATTGACATTTTATTACTCTAGGTCCATGTTTTAAATTTCTCTAATTCAATAATTCAAATTAAAATTACAGAAAGGAAATTCAAACTAAATGTTTGTAGTAATGCTTAGTAACATTGTTGTATTTGTTAGACCAGTTTATACACTCATCTAAACGATTATTAGGAACACGTGTTCAATTTCTCATTAATGCAATTATCTAATCAACCAATCACTGGGTAGTTTCTTCAATGCGTTTAGGGGTGTGGTCCTGGTCAAGACAATCTCCGGAACTCCAAATTCACCTTTGGCTAAGCCACGCCCTAGAATGTAGATTTCTTTCAACACGGGCGTCTCATATTTTTGGTCTCGGCAGGCTATTACCAACCTAGTTTTATCCAAAATATGGTTAAACGTTGTGCCTCGGGCATTTGTAACACAGATACGCGTTTCCCAGAGAGGTTGGAGGGGGGTGTCCGTTTTTTCCCTTCCCAAAACCAAAGTAAAATCCTGACAAGTGTCGTGTTTGGATTAAACTGTGTGGATGTCCTCAGTCAGCTAAACCCCACAAAGATCAACAAGCACATCTTTTTTACTTCTAACCTTACTGTGAGTGTGAAGTTATACTAGTTAGACAGTTTTATAATGTTTTAGGTTATGATTTCGGTTCTCGTACCGGTTGTTGACACGCTAGCACACGCTGCTAATAATTACAACGCTATACTCGTGTAGTCCGTTTGCTTTGTAATAACGATTATAGAAGTGAATAGAGACCTACCCAGCTTTGCGTGAACAGTGTTGCTCCCTGATATTGTTAGTCCCAGCCTCCGTCTCGATTAATTAGGATATGCGGTGGTTAATTTTTTTGACTGTGACCGGTAACGTAATGCTTTTGCTTCTATTTTGGTTGCCTTGTTGTTGATTGCGTTTCACCTGTATGTCTTGAATATAGCCTTCGAACACATATTGCAGCCCCTTTTGCCTACTTCTATCGGACACTTTATTTGCTGCTTTATAAAAGTTTGATAACATTTCAGCAGGAAGAGCTGTTACAGCATAAGCCATGCAGAGCGCAGATGAAGTTTGACGGATGTAGCAACAGTAACTAAGGGGGGCGGGGCTTAGCCAAAGGTGAATTGAATGTCAGAATGGGAAAGAAAGGTGATTTAAGCAATTTTGAGAGATTTCACAATCTGCTCAGTTACTGGGATTTTCACGCACAACAATTTCTAGGGTTTACAATGAATTTTGTGAAAAGGGAAAAACATCCAATATGCGGCAGTCCTGTGGGCGAAAATGCCTTGTTGATGCTAGAGGTCAGAGGAGAATGGGGCGACTGATTCAAGCTGATAGAAGAACAACTTGGACTGAAACAACCACTCGTTACAACCGAGGTATGCAGCAAAGCATTTGTGAAGCCACAACACGCACAACCTTGAGGCGGATGGGCTTCAACAGCAGAAGACCCCACCGGGTACCACTCATCACCACTACAAATAGGAAAAAGTGACTACAATTTGCAAGAGCTCACCAATATTGGACAGTTGAAGACTGGAAAAATGTTGCCTGGTCTGATGAGTCTCGATTTCTGTTGAGACATTCATATGGTAGAGTCAGAATTTGGCGTAAACAGAATGAGAACATGGATCCATCATGCCTAATTGCCACTGTGCAGGCTGGTGGTGGTGATGTAATGGTGTGGGGGATGTTTTCTTGGCACACTTTAGGCCCCTTAGTGCCAATTGGGCATCGTTTAAATGCCACGGCCTACCTGAGAATTGTTTTTGACC